GCCCACTAGTGGGCATACCAACTTTCATGGTGGGCGGTAGGGGTTTGCTGTAACTCTGCTTTATAAATTTTATAAAGTAAAGTTACTTCCCTATTTTATAAATCATCATTACTGTGGAACCGGTGGGCGGTTAGAAAATATTACTACTAATAGAGATACAAAAGTGGGTGGTAAGTATAAAAAGGTTGACTACCCCTGGTTTAGATCATACCTATAATGCACATGTAATATACAGAATAATAAACTATTCTTAATAGAATGCAATTTGAACAATAGAGAAATGATTTTAACAAAATACCATAGCATACATTAGTGAAGAGTAAATATAACAATGATATCTAAAAGGTGATCAGAGGTTCAGGGAAATCTGCTGGAATAGATGAATCTAAAACTCATTTGGAACAGGAAGAGAAAGTCCCAGCTTCCCCAATATTTAATTCTGCTTCTATAAGTTTTAGGGAGTGCCACATAGTTACCTACGAAGTTGAGACCCTCCCATTTAAAAAGTAAAATTCTCAGTCTGGAAAGTTGGGCAAAAACAAAGAATCCATTGCCAGAGTAGTATAGCTAGAACTGATTCAACAGAAAGCAGCATTCTAAATAGGTAGACTCCAACTCTATGGGCATCTAATAGATGGTCTATGAAATATAGTTTTCTATGTACTTATATTTTCTTCATTGGAGAAACCACTGCATCTGATGATTTTCCAAGGGTTTTCCAGAATGGTTCCATTGACTGCCAAGAGTCAATGGGACTATCCAAGGGGCTGTTTTTGTTATTATTTGTAGTCCTATCAATTAAAGTAGTATTTATTCAATTATTTTCATACAATAAATGTTTGGGTGTTGATGAACAATCTGAAACTTCATGGAAAGGTAGATGAGTGTCAATTTGTGTAGAGTTGAGGATCCTTGTTCTGCTTTAATCCAGACATCATTTTAGCATTTAGCATGTATTGATTTATAAAGAACTTAACCAGAATCAGTTTAAAACTATTTTTTCCCCGTGCTTTCATCCCAGTTTCTTCTAGGTGAGCTGGAAATTGATGATGACCTAAAAATCACTGTCAAAGACGAGGAACTCGCTTCAACCAGGAAGGCGATAATGTTTGACACCCTGTGTAATGATGTTATCCCAAAAAGTATTACAGAAATACGCAGATTAAGCTCCAGGCTGGCAGGTTACCCTGGCATGTTAAAGAAAGAAGATTTTGAAAGGACGGTATTGACGATGGTCTATACAGCCTACAGGACAGCTCAGTCCCAAGCACATCAGAAAGAGAACTGGGCAGAATCCTTTGTAAATCTTTACAAGCTTGTGATGCATGACTTGAAGTTGCTATCCAGCCAAGCTCCAACTTCTCAGAGAACGTGACGCTCCAGAAGCAAACTCTGATTATAAGAAGGATATATCTGCTTCTTCGTTTTGATAAGCAATAAAGGAAACAAACAGGCTTGGAGATATTTCTTAATCTCTAGCTCCTCCTAGAGAGAATCTGTTGTAAAATCTTCTGTATTGCATTAGAAATTGAATTAATATATCCGTTTAAAAAACGTTTTCCAAATTATCTAGCCTTTTCTTTTTAAGTGTAACCAATGGACAGCAAATCCTCTCTTGTCGTGTATTTTTCTATTTTATTTCCATCAGTGTCTTTCACATATCTGTATAGATTATAGCTAACACAAACTTTACTCCAACCTTTAAATGCAACAGTTATGCTGTGTCCATTCTTGATGAATACGGGGGACTCAGAAAACTTGCATATTTTTTTCTGGCCTCTTTTAAAAGCTGAGGGAAAAATGCTGAGCTCAATCCTTTTGGAAATTCCATCTTGCTAGTACCCCTCCCCCCAAAATACATTTTTCCTCCCCTCTTCTGTCAAGAAGCATTAGTTAAGAGTTAAAGCAATAGGTTCATTTAAGAGAAAGGATAGGTCTAATCTCTCTCTCTCTCTCTCTCTCTCTCTCTCTCTCTCTCTCTCTCTCTCTCTCTC